TAGAAACAGAAAGAACATTACCAAACTCATTTTATGAAGCCACAGTCACCTTGGTACCTAAACCTCACAAAGACCCAAGGAAAAAAGAGAACTTCAGGCCAATCTCCCTTATGAACATTGATGCAAAAATACTCAACAAAATACTCGCAAACTGAACACAAGAACACATCAAAGATATCATCCACCATGACCAAGTAGGCTTCATCCCAGGTATGCAGGGGTGGTTCAATATAAGGAAATCCATCAATGTGATCCACCATATTAACAAACTGAAAGAAAAAAAACACATGATAATCTCATCGATGCTGAAAAAGCATTTGAAAAAATCCAACATCCATTCATGTTTAAAGTATTGGAGGGATCAAGGATACAAGGCACATACATAAACATAGTAAAGGTGACATACAGCAAGCGTATAGCCAACATCAAACTGAACGGAGAGAAACTTAAAGCAATCCCACTGAAATCAGGGACAAGACAAGGCTGCCCACTCTCTCCATATCTCTTCAACATAGTTCTGGAAGTCCTTGCTAGAGCAATAAGACAGTTGAAGGAGATCAAGGGGATACAAACTGGAAAGGAAGAAGTCAAATTATCACTATTTACAGATGATATGATAGAATACGTGAGTGACCCCAAAAACTCTACCAGGGAACTCCTACAGCTGATAAACACCTTCAGTAAGGTGGCCGGATACAAAATTAATTCAAAAAAATCAGTAGCCCTCGTGTATACAAAAGACAAAAGGGCTAAGAAGGAAATTAGGGAAACAACACCCTTCACAATAGCCACAAATGACATAAGGTACATGGGAGTAACCCTAACCAAGCAAGTCAAAGACTTGTATGAAAAAAATTTCAAGTCTCTGAAGAAAGAATTAGAAAAATATATCAGAAGATGGAAAGATCTCCCATGCTCATGGCTAGGCAGGATTAACACAGAAAAAATGGCCATCTTACCAAAAGCAATCTACATATTCAATGCAATTCCCATCAAATTACCAACACAATTCTTTACAGACCTGGAAAGAAAAATTCTCAACTTCATATGGAATAACAAGAAGCCCAGAATTGCTAAAACAATCCTCTACAATAAAAGATCTTCTGGAGGTACCTCCATCCCTGATCTTAAGTTGTACTATAGAGCAACAGTTTTAAAAACTGCATGGTACTGGCATAGAAACAGAATAGTGGATCAATGGAACAGAACAGAAGACCGAGAAATAAACCCACACATTTATGGACACCTGATCTTTGACAAAGACGCCAAAACCATACAATGGAAAAAAGATAGCATCTTCAACAAAAGGTGCTGGTCTAACTGGATGTCTACATGTAGAAAAATGAAAATAGATCCATACTTATCACCCTGCACAAAACTGAAGTCCAAGTGGATCAAAGACCTCAACATAAAACCAGACATATTAAATCGGCTAGAAAAAAAGTGGGGAATACCCTAGAACTCATTGGTACAGGAGAGAACTTCGTGAACAGAACACCAACAGCACAGGCTCTGAGAGCAACAATCAATAAATGGGACCTCCTGAAACTGAAAAGCTTCTGTAAAGCAAAGGACACCATCATCAAAACAAAGCGACTGCCTACAGATTGGGAAAGAATCTTCACCAACCCTTTTTCTGACAGAGGACTCATATCCAGTATATATAAACAACTAAAGAAGCTGAAAAGCAGCAAACCAAGTAATCCACTGAAAAAATGGGGAACAGAGCTAAACAGAGAATTCTCTGTAGAGGAATATCGAACGGCAGAGAAGCACTTAAAGAAATGCTCAACCTCATTAGCCATTAGGGAAATGCAAATCAAAACTACCCTGAGATTTCACCTTACACCCATCAGAATGGCCAAGATCAAAAACTCAAGTGACAACACATGCTGGAGAGGTTGTGGAGAAAGGGGAACCCTTCTCCACTGCTGGTGGGAATGTAAACTTGTACAACCACTCTGGAAATCAATCTGGCGCTTTCTCAGATAACTAGGAATAGCGCTTCCTCAAGATCCAGCCATACCACTCCTAGGTATATATCCAAAAGAGGCTCAAGTGCACAAAAAGGACATTTGCTCAACCATGTTTGTAGCAGCTTTATTTGTAATAGCCAGAAGCTGAAAACAGCCCAGATGCTCCTCAACTGAAGAATGGATGCAGAAAGTGTGGTACATCTATACAATGGAGTATTACTCAGCAATGAAAAATAAGGAAATTATGCAATTTGCAGGTAAATGTTGGGACCTGGAAAGGATCATCCTGAGTGAGTTGTCCCAGAAGCAAAAAGACACACACAGTATATACTCACTCATATAGACAGACAACATAGGACAAACCCACTAAAATCTGTGCATCTAAGGAAACTAAGCAAGAGAGAGGACCCTAACTAAAACGCTCAATCCCCATCCTGAAAGGCAAAGAGGATGGACATCAGAAGAAGAAGAAAACAGGAAACAACCTCGGAACCTGCTATAGAGGGCCTCTGAAAGCCAAAAGAAAAAAACGGGAAACAAACTAGGAACCTGCCACAGAGGGCCACTGAAAGCCAGAAGAAGAAAACAGGAAACCAACTAGGAACCTGCCACAGAGGGCCTCTGAAAGTCTCTGCCCTGCAGACTATCAAAGCAGATGCTGAGCCTGATGGCCAACTGTTGGACAGAGTGAATGGAATTTTATATAAGAAGTGGGAAATAGTAAGAGCTGGAGAGGACAGGAACTCCACAAGGAGAGCAACAGAACAAGATAATTTGAACACAGGGAACCTCCCAGAGACTCATACTCCAACCAAGGACTATTCATGGAGATAACCTAGAACCCCTGCACAGATGTAGCCCATGGCAGTTCAGTGTCCAAGTGGGTTACATAGTAATGGGAAGAAGGACTGCCTCTGACATAATCTGATTGGTCTGCTCTTTGATCACCTCCCCCTGAGGGGGGAGCAGCCTTACCAGGCCACAGTAGAGGACAATGCAGCCACTTCTGTGAGAACTGATAGACTAAGATCAGAAAGAAGGAGAGGAGAACCTCCCCTATCAGTGGACTTGGGGAGGGGCATGCATGCAGAAAGAGGAGGGAGGGTGGGACTGGGAGGGGAGGAGGAGGGGCTTATGGGGGATACAAAGTGAATAAAGTGTAACTAATAAAAAAATTTAAAAAAAATAAATGAGTATATGCCATGAAAAAAAAAAAAAGCAAACAAACCAATTGCCACCCACACCCTAATGAAATACGATAGGTCACATGAGAGCAGAAGAGAGTGTACCTGGGGAGAGGAAGGAGATGAATAACAATGGCAGAGAGATAAGAAAGGGTAATGGGGGTGAATGTGATTGAAATATATTAAGTACAGGTAGGAAAGTATGTGGATGAAACTCATTACCATGTATAATTAATATATGCTAATAAAAACATTAAAACATAATCAAAGACTTGTATTTATTCCTAACCGTCAATACTTTAAAGGCTATTTTATTATTCTTGCTATAGGAGAACAGTAAGAACTAAAGAGTTTGTGTGTGTGTGTGTGTGTGTGTGTGTGTGTGTGTGTGTGTGTGTGTACAGCTTTCCAGTCTAATTTCTTGGTTTTTGATCGTGTGACCCTTGACCATTCAGATAGGTTGCAGACTGTGCTTGGTCTGGATGCAATTTGTCTTCCAAGTTTCATTTGTTTTTACAGAGTAATTTGAACCTTTAACACTGGACTTGTGAGAATGAGAGAGGGGAGCCACAGGGGAAAGAGCACTGTGTCAGGGGGTACAGTGAGTGACAGTGCCTTAATAGCAAATGCTCCCCATCACTGAACTTCACCAACTTGGATTGTGAAGTTAACTATTATTTCATAATCTTACCTCCCCAAAGAGTTTGTCAGCCAACTAGCATCTCAGAAGTTTAGCTCTATCTACAAATTAAATACAACCTGGTAAATAGAAAGAGTTATATGTAGACAGTCATGTCTTTTATTGGCAAAGTCGTGGTCATTCTGAGGGCAAAATGTAATGGCAAATACTATATTAGACAGAATCCCGGGGGGACAGTAATTGACATGCATTCTAGATTTGAGAACTGTAACTGAATTTTTTTAGGTTTATTGAAAGTGAATCCCATTAACTTTCTGACTTCTGGGTTCTTGAATTTCTGGGAGAATGACAGCATGAGGACAAAGGCGGTCTTGACTTTGGGAAATGCTCTTTAGTCAGTGAACTCCCTGATTCCCAACCCCTCTGTAGGCAATGGAATGGGATTGTGTTTCAGAGCCTTCTAAAGGACAGGGAAGGAAGAGATGCTCTAAGCACCCCATTTTCTCTGTGGAGACTCTAACTGTTAGGACCCCAGCTGCCCAATGACTCTGCTTTTGTTTGAGTACAATCTTATTACTGAAGAAAGGAGTCTTGATTTCCAATCTCATTAACTTGAGGATATTCTTCCATCTGTGATTATGACTTTATATTGTTAATCTACTGTTATTTTTAGTCAAACATAATTTTTTCCCTGAAATAATAAAAAAGATAATTTGGTTTGTTTGTATAACCACTTAACTCTTACTTGAAAATCATAAAGCTTTTTTCCTGATATTCACTGGGTGATTTGCATACAGGGTGGCTGGCTTAGGAGCATTGGCAGTTTTGGACGGGGGCTCCTGGTGCTGATTTTATAGACCTGTGCAGTTTCATCAAGCCATCTGGCTGGAAACTGTGAGCAAGGGGGTGTTCCCCAGAGAAAAGTGATGTGTAGTTAGCTGAAGAGTCCAGCTGAGATTTTATGCTGTATAAAATCAGCACACACCAAGCTACACTGATGAATTTCATGCACATTGTGAGGATATGGCTCAGGGTTGTGCCATCTGACCAAGGGGCTTTTTTTTTTTCTGAGTTTTCTTTTGTATGGGGAATTGTCTGGCTACTTACATCTGATAGGTACTGCTAAAATTGTTGCTTTCCTTGAATGAAGCCTCCAGTAGCAACAATTAAATGTGCTATTTTCCGTTATTGTTGTTGTAGCAAAACCATTTGAAAATGGACAATATTTGGACATTTATGGAATTACAAGGGACCAGGCTGGGGAGTACGAATGCAGTGCGGAGAACGATGTGTCCTTTCCAGATGTGAAGAAAGTGAGAGTGGTCGTGAACTGTAAGTATCTTGCCCTTATCACCATAACTGTTGAGAAATGGATGTGGCTGCTTAATGCGGTGCACGGCTGGCGAGTGACATGTGACTGGTTCAGATCTTTGTGCAGCAATAGCCTCAGTAGATCCCAGCAGGGTTTGAATGACTTAGAGACTGAAACCTGCCAGCATCGTCTTCATGCCCACCATTGCGGGGCCTCAGCTGTGTCTCCGTGACTGAGAACTAAGCCACCATGGCTTTCGCTTGGCAGATACAGTACACTGTGCAGTGCACTGCCAGGCCTGGGGGACACAAATAGGAAGTAATTCACTCAGAGGTGAGAGTAGGTGGTCAGGCTTGTTCAACTGGGAGGTCGAATTTTATTTAGCTTGGAAACACAGGGAAAATTATGAATTTGTTTCCCATGAGCTCTGTCATTGTGTGGTTAAGTGTGAGCTAGATGTCCACAGAGTCATCAACACCATGACACAACACCCCTTCTCAAGCTGGAGAAAAGGACACCTGCTCTAAACATCCCGCTGCAGATATCCTCGGCCTGTGTGTTTGAGGAAAGCTGCCTGTCTTTCAAAACTGTTTGCATTATTTAATTTTTCAAAGTAAGTACATTGTGGATAAGAGCATCTTACCCAAAATATGCACAAGCTACATCTTCTGTTTTCATTCCATGTATGCACTTTTCTACATTTGACCTTTGATAATAACACTTGTGTAGTATTGATAACCAGATAACATGGAGCTGGTTTAAATATATGTGTAAATACTAATGCTAGTCAGCAGCTGTTTTGTGTGAACATGAGTCTTCCAGTTTTGTGAGGCAAATGTTAACTCTGTGAACACTGCTGTCACCAAGCTGTGTCAAGGAAGACTGCCGTCATCAGCCAGTGTTTTTCAGCTGTTGATCTATACACTTTGGATGAAATTCCTCGGTAGGACTGAACGAGTAGACAGCATACCTGACCACAGGGCAGTTTCTGTAGAGAATCTTCTGAGTTCTGGGCAGAGGCAAAGCAGAACCACCGGAGGAGGCCTTGAGGAGCTCAAAGCTTCCAGCACCGCACCATCTAGGCTGAATCAGACTGAGTCCCATGGCTCTAATTTTGACAAGTTCCCAGATTCACGGTACTTTCATTACAGAAGATTTCCACTGACTTTCGGGATTTTTAGTGCACATGGTTAGGGTTAATCCCTCTGGAATTCAGATGGAAGACAACAAACAAGAAAAGAGATCCTGGTTACTGTATCACCATGTGCATTTGCTCTGACTTGATTTTTACATGGTTGGGAAGAACGAGATAAGTAAGGAGTGAGAGCTAAGATGTGAAAACATAGTCAAAGCTGTCGGTGAACAAACACTGAGCTCTCAAAGCATCCACTCCCAGGTCCATCAGGTCTTTAAAGGATGCCACTGCTGGGTGCCTGGAACACCAGTGGCTGTGTGGAATGGGAACCCTCCCCTGCTATGGTAACCTCCTTCATCCTCACACAGCCCTGTCCACTCCCACACCTATTTCACTGTCATGCAACTCTTCCATTTTTCTCTAGGCACATAGACACTCTAAGCCTACAGGGATTAAATAGATATGTACTTCAACCCACGCTTGTCATTCTCTAAAAGTCCAAGCAGGCAGAGGGATCCAGTCTGTGCAAAAGGGCAGAGATGGGCAATAAGGAGACCAAGAAGTGAGACTAGCTAACAGCTTCATGGGAAGTGGAGGAAACAGAAACAACAATTTATTGCCCAGCGCAGTTGCAGGGGTGTTGACAATATGTCGTTTCACCAGTTCTGGCAAGCCCTGATCATCTGAAGACCGGTTGTTACTAACCACACAGTGCTTCTTGCCACAGCCACACAGCCTAGACGGAGGACACAGGCATGCTCACAGGTCACCCAGAAAATCCTCCTCATTAGCCCAGACTGCAAGCAGAGCTTCCCCTCAGGCCACAGAGACAGCGGCACTGCCTCCCCCCACTCCCCCACTTCGATTATAAAACATGGAGAGAGGCAGTAAATTGGGTTTTGGTTAACCCTGCTTACCCCCCTCTGTGTCTCCAGTTTCTTAAGGTACCACTAGCCCTCAAAGCCTTTTTCCAGTTGTGGCTTCTGCAGATACTCCAATTACACAGACAAGTACAAAGAGCTGAAGCTGGGATCCACAGATACAAGAGAATATTCAATGTGTGTTTTCTACTTTCAGCATTGACCTAAAGATAAATTTTTCCTCATAACTAAATAAAGTTGCATATGTGCCACAACCACATTTTCATTATCTGCTTATTGGGTACTGGGTCATGAGGCTGACTCCATGTCCTCCTGTTGTGAACACAGCAGCAGTGAACGTGGATGAGCAAGTGTCCCTGACATTAGGTAGAGAATCCTTGCACACATGCCAAAGTGTGGGATGGCTGGGTCACAAGGTCAACCTTATTTTAGCCTTTGGGGGCCCCCCCCGCACAGGTTTTACACAGCAGGCGCCCTGGTTTACACTCTCAGGGAGAGTGAATAAGAGATCCCTTTCCTGTGTGCTCGCTACATCTGCAGTGTTTTGTCTTTTAGCTCTCTTTAAATCATAGTTTCAGGTGTTCAAGCGTTTACAAATGCTCCATGAACAGTGAGCTTCAATCGATTTTGTTGGATTTTATTCTTTTTCGAGCCAGTGTTGCACAGATCTGAGTAGTGTTTGAGGTGCAGGTGTATGAGGGATAGTATGTGCATTGTGTCTCTCGGTTGTGATAAAGTTTCAAAGTAGTAATCTTGTGAAATTGTCCCTTCAAATGCCAAAACTGAGAGCTGCCTGTGGATTTTACTGACCTGACTTCACAAACCACTGGAGCCAAAGCACCCACCCCCAAACAAACCCCAGCTCACAAAATCCCAGGCCCAGCAGAGCTGTGTGGCAGGCACAGAAACGCACATTCTTGACAAGATCCAGATGCCCTGGAGAAGCATGTAACTGATTATTCACACCCACATGAGGAGTCCTGCACACACACATTGAACACACATGTGCACCACCATACAGGATACATATGTAGGCACATACAATGCACATGCTCTGGGTACCGTCTGGAGGCAGAAGAATGGAGATGCTCTTAACCCAAGTGCAGCCAGTGAATTTGTGTTTGGACAGATTTGTTTTCCTATTGGCACTTGTGTCCTGTTCTCACTGGCATCTTGGTAAGTACCAGGCCCATAATATTTACTAATTATAAAGTAGAAGGCTGATTGAGTTTCAGAAAGCCCATGGGCTGACCGGAAGCGGGAAAGCAGGAACAGAACCTGTGAAGACAAAAGAGAGTGTAGAAAACCAGCAGAGTGGACTGGCAGTTTAGAGAGAGGCTGAGACTGACCATGTCAGTGAAGAAGAGCCAGGTCCTAGATCTCACGGTGAGGACACCACTGTTCACTGGCAGTGCTGGTTTCTGAGAGACAGGGACAGAGGTGACCAAACCTCTGTCCTGCTGTAGGGGAGCTTCTGATGGAGTGTCTTGGAAGTGTGGAAATCAGGTAGCGGTAGCGTTCATGGAATTTTATTAAGATTGAACATTAACCAGGTAAACTGCCTTCCCATTACCAGCTGGCCTCTGACACCGTGGGGAACCTTGGCTTCCTCTCTGAGTTTCAAATTCCACTTCTGTAAACTCAAGGACATGTATTTTATATCTGTGTGATAATTAGTATGTGGTTTATACATGCAAAACTGATATCAATAAATGTGTGCGTGTAGAATTATATGCATGTTTTATAAAGAAGAGTTTGTTTGGCTGGGGAAAGTAAAGTCTTTCTAGACAGGCTCTCCTGTGCTGTCCTCCCTCAGTGCAGCACAGAACTCACAAAAGAGCCTGACCATAGCTGCTGAGTGAGCAAATCAGTAAATTAGATTCTCCCAGTCCAATCATTCTACCAGGCAAGAGAGAAGAATTATGAGATTTTCCTAGCACCTTTTACGCAGATGGTATTATTGACCAAATATTTCTTTTTTATTGTTATTATTCTCTCACACATTATGTCCTGACCACAGTTTCCATTCCCTCCACTCCTCCCACTCCTGTAAGCCACCTCTCTGACCCCCAGATCCACTCCTTCTCTGTTTCTCTTCAGAAAAAAGCAGGCCTCCCAGGGATATTAACCTAACCCAGGATAACAAGTTACAATATAACTAAGCAAACCCCTCTATCAAAGCTGGATGAGGCAACCTAGTAGGAGTAAAAGGGTCCCAAGAGCAGGCAGAAGAGTCAGAGATGCCCTCACTTCCACTGTTAGGAGTCCCATGAGAATTTCCGATACTGTCTTTCTACCAGTACTTTCAGGTGGGTTCAGTAAAGCTGCCTGCTATTTACACAGTGCTTGTATTCATAGGAAAGGGACACTAATTCCATTTTATATAAATAAGACAATTGAAGTATAGAGAGTTTAAACATTTAATACCTTTCCTGATCTCCAAGAACAAAATATTCACCGGTAAAAAAATATATTAATTAACTGTAAAAATGAAAAATTCGACCAGATCAAGGTGAAAAGATATTTGCCTATGACTTCAATTTTGACCATGATGGATTCACATATTGACTATTTCACTCAGTATTAGGATGATTTAGTTCACATTTTCAATAAATGGAATTGAGCGATTCTTCCTATGGCCAAATAAACAGTAAAGGCATTTTTGAGTATGTGGTGAACCAAGCTTTTATCTAATATATCAAAGGTGCATATTTGTGCATAATTTTGCATCTGGTACATATTCATTTATGCAAATGTGCACTTTATCTTCCAATATAACTAGCTCCAAACATGTGGACTAGAATGTTCCAATTAGGTTGACTTAGTACAGTTGTCCCAAAGCCAGAAGCGAGCGGCCACAGGAGACAGGAGAATCTCCAAGGATGCAACCAGCGCTTGTAGGCTGGTCATAAATTTTCCTCCCAAAACCTTGGGTAATTTACTCACAGATGTCACACTTAAGGCTGGAAGAAATTGCAGCTGCCAATAACCATCCTTTTGACAA